CACCACTCTCTTGCTCATGGCGCACAGCGCCCCGCACCGCACTGCGCACTGTACCAGTGCGCCGCAACTATGATTAAGAGTAGTTAGTTACAAAAAAAAAAAAAAAACTAGAAATGGGCATGATATGAGGCTCTTCACTCTTGTGGACGCTACAATGTGCAAATGTTCACCTGGAGACATGGAACCCATTCTCCAGCACCGCCCTTCTGCCTCGTCCACTCAAGCAAAGCAACCATACAAAGCATAGCCCCAGCAGATGCGCAAAGATAGAGAAATTAAAAAGAAACAAGTGGACCCGCCGCGGCTCTGCCCGCGGCGAGAAGAACAAAGATTGTGAGAAGCGAGGAAGGGGGGGAAAGGCAGTAGAAGACAAAGAGATACAAAGAGAGAAACACAAACAGAGAGAAAAAAAAAAAAAAAAAAAAAAAAAACCCCCCCAACCCCCCCCCCCCCCCCCCCCCCCCCCCCCGGAAAAAAACAGAACGGCTGATTTTTGCCTGCACAGGTGACCCCCGGACAACTTGCCCAGGCTGCATCGCCGTGCTGTAAAGCCTGCCAAGCCAAGTAGCCTACGACAGAATGCAAATTTTGAATTTAATCACATCATCATCATCAACCGTGTGCAAGCATTCAGTGCATCTTGTATAGATGAACACTCCGTTACTCTTCAAGTTCATATCTGTATTTAAACCACCAGTACATTTCCCCGCTATGAAAAGAAATATGCGGATTGCATGCAGCCGCAACTTCCGAGGCTGAGCCTCCGGAGCAAAATGGCTGGCGGCACCAGCCAAACGGAGGCCTGTGCCGGTCCGTTTTGTCTTGGTGCGCAGGCCGTTTCCAGACCAGGAGAAAAGTGTCTCGTAAGTACTGGTGGTTTCACCAGCAAACCTGGTCCAGCGCTTGTTCGCTGGTTAAACCACCGAACATGACCTCTAGGTTTGAACCAGACAGGGTTGAGCTCAAACTCTAGGACCTGGTTCATTCCTCGCTCCTGGCTTACCTACAGAAAATAGGAACACGGATCGAGTGCATGGACAGAGAGTTGTAAGGAGAAGGGAGAGGCACATACGATAACCAGGTGGTTAACCAGACTGCCACGCGTCAAAGGAATACCCACATACCATCATGAGCAGATGGGGGTACTTACCAGATGCATTGGGCTGAGCTACAAAGGGGCCCCAATACACAATCATGACCAGATTGGATAGCCACACGGCTGCGCTTCAAAGACCCCCCCCCCAAAAAAAATATATGATCCTGACAAGACGAGATATTAAGCAGATGGCTGAGAGCTTCAAAGGACCCCCAATTATCCCAATGCTTGACCAGATGGGTAACCAGACACCAAGAAGGGATAAGCCATGGCCCATAAAGGGATCACGACTGGAGTCTAATAATTCCAACCCCTACGACAGCCTGGGCGTTTAAAGAAACCAGTACCTACTGTTTTCACTCGTCGAATAGAATGCCCAGTAATTATTGCTGCATTCAGTCCGACTTTCAGTCTAGATACAGCCATAATGACCGGGTGTTCTATTCAGGTGAAGACCGTTAAGTGCCGGTAACAAACAGGAGATGCTACTGTCTTCTACTGATTCCAGGAGTTTCTATTTCTCAGAACAAGAACAGACGTGCACAGAGAAAAACCTTAGCCATAGCCAAACCCATACTCATACCCATAGCCATAGCCATAGCCATAGCCATACCCATAGCTGTACCCATAGTCATAGGGAAGACAATAACTACAACAGAAGGAATTCCCTGGGCCCACCAGTGTCCCGACAATAACTTAGCCATAGCAGTACCCATACCCGTACCCGTACCCGTACCCATAGCCATACCCATACCCATAACCATAGCCATAACCATAGCCATAGCTGTACCCATAGTCATATTAGCGGAGACAATTACTAAAACAGAAGGAATTCCCTGGGCCCACCAGTGTCCCGACAATAACTTACTTGTTCTGTTGATCACCCATATCGACAATCACAAGTGCAGCATTGTAGACTTTCCCGTCGTCATCTTCAAGGATTCTTCCCCCCTCATCCTGGAGCTCCGTATCTGTGAAAACAGCCCTTTTCGACGGCATTTTCATCTGCACGTGCAAATCAACTGTCAGTAACCATTGTGGGCGAAATATGTACACAAAAAGTTTAACTCAGCTGTTGATAAACAGGTCATGAGTTCAAAACTCAAACGGTTACCCCGATGGACATTGAACTCGCGTTTGTGCACTGAATGGTACACATGCAGCTGTTTGTTTGTTTGTTTGTTTGCTTGTTGAGTGTGGCAAGAAGACAGTAAACAGGTCACGAGTCCAAAATGCATACGCGGATGGACATAGTAACAGTTTCCAGTGGGCTAGCCGACTTTTAAAATACAACAATTGAAAAAAAATGATAAACACAATTAAAAAAAGTCTTTTCTCTCCAACTGCCCATAGCGACGATCATGGAGCAGGCAAAATCTCACAGATGGAGACCCCCTTTTTTTTCTTTTCCTTTTTTTTAGGTTTTTTTTTTTTTTTTTTAGGTTTTTTTTTTTTTTTTTTTTTTTTTTTTTTTTTTTTTTTTTTTTTTTTTTTTTTTTTTTTTTTTTTTTTTTTTTTTTTTTTTTTTTAAGGAAAAACCGTCCCCCCACCCTGAGCAGTGACCACCCCATTCCTGCTATGTTCAAAATGCCGCTCACACAGCTTGGCGGTGATCCAAGAATCGAAAGTGACACTGAGCTGATGAGGATTTATTTTTTATTTATTTTTATTTTTTTAACCAATGAGGATTACAACGTAGTAAATTAAATGCTTTAGGAACGTACAGATTGATGGCTATTATTGGCTACAACTTGATGGACTCGTGGTATTTGGGTATAATATGTACACTCTGGTCCCCAGTATGTTCATAGTTTACCCTGGGTATATCCATGATTTGCACACTGTTCAGGTGGTAGGAAGGTACAACTGCAATTTGCCGATACCAACACAGACAGGCCATGCTAACAATTTCCACAGGGCATTTACCAGTGGCTTCCAGGTATACGTACAATTCCCAGCTTTAAACACTGAGGGTCCAGCTGCAATCTGCAACCCCCGCCCCCATCCCCCTTACCCAAAAAACAAGGGAGGGAAAAACAGGAGGAATTTGACAGAAACAAGACTTAGTGCACCACCTCTGATATCACAGCCTCTGCAGCCTCTGCATCTGGATGTCTTTTGTCCCATGGAAGTTCGGGACCAGTGGGCAGATCAGCAAGCACATTGTACCCTTCCAATGGCTGAACCTTCTTCGACTTAATGCTGTCCACTAGCCAGGACTCCTTAACCACTGGAATGCCTTTGTCCCTGTTTTCGCCGTTATGGACCCCCTCCCCCCCCCAAAAAAAAAGGGAAAAACAAAACAGCACACAACACACACACACACA